CATTAAAAATGAATTTAACACTGTCCTACTGTCACTAAACATTTAATTCTATAATACATCGCTTCCAACCAAAAATACATGAAAGGAAATGATCTAGTTTGAGAAATAGGTTTCTTTTTTTTTGAGACAGAGTCTCACTTTTTCATCACTGGTAGAGTGCCTTGACCTCACAGCTCACAGCAACCTCAAACTCTTGAGCTAAAGTGATTCTCTTACCTCAGCTTCTGGAGTAGCAGGGACTAAGGTGCCCGCCACAATGCCCAGCTATTTTGTTGTTGTTGTTGTTGCAGCTGACATTGTTGTTTAGCAGGCCCTGGACCAGGTTCAAACCCACCTGTCTCAATGTATGTGGCTGGGCCTTGGCTATTTTCAGAAATGAGTTCTCGCTCTGGCTCAGGCTGGTCTCTATTAGCTCAGGCGATTCACCCACCTCAGCCTTCCAGAGTGCTGGGATTAAGGAGTGAGCCACTGTGCCCTGCCCTAGGAAAAGGTTTCTTTTTAACAACAGTCATATAGATCAATATTAAAAAACACATATCAAAAAAAACAGCTAAGTTTGTTATACAATTAAACTTAGTAGGATTTAAGTTTTGTTTGCAATAGTAATTTACCTGCTTAGTGACATCTATTCTCAAAAAATATATATGCATTTATATATCCTTATTAATAAATTTGCTTTTCAGAAAATGATACTGACACATAAGAAGTTTGAAGAATGAAATAAAATAAATGCTTAAACAGTTTCAGAGTTACAATAAGAGTAACATCTTCTTGGCTTAAAATTCAGTTTTTTAAATATTTTGAATAACATTATTTATTAATGAATTACTCTCTATGTGTTACTGTAATGTTTTTGGTTGTCCTAGCTTACAATTAGCCTCTTCTCTAATCACTATTACCCAGTCTTATATTTATTCCAGTATCGCTTACTGATTTCATACCAACAGCTTAGTGCAATAGGAATGTGTATTAATAGAGCAAAAGGATGATTTTACAAAATGCCCTTTACCAAAAATTTGCATCTTTTTCTCACTCACACCACTGTTAGTAAAAACTTAGGCAATGGATTATCATATTTAGCTAAGTACCTTGCTACCAAACATAAGCAATGGCTAGCTGATATATTAAATAGCCAATGGAACATGACTTGATTCTACATTATATACATAAGAGTATTCATTATTTTTCTGGTACTATTTTTGTGGAGTTTTTATTAATGTACTGCCTTGATAAATAGCTTCTTTCAAAACAGAAAAAAATACTCAAAAAGTGACACACTTGAAATATTGTGAGTCTGCTATGTAATTGTTAGGGCTGACTACCGAAGCTGTTAAAAAAAAAAAAAAATTCATGCTTATTTGCTTCACATTATTCATTATCACACTGTTTTCAGTCTCTGCTATAAATAGTACTACAACTCAAGAACATCAGACACAAAAATATTAAAAACAAGAACTCAGGTCACCAAAGATCATATAACCTTTATTTCTGGCAAATTAACATAAGATAGTTACTAATTAAGACAGTTACTAATAAAGATACTGTTCTTAGAAATAGACAATAATCCTTAACATAAAACATTTCCTTACGCAACCTATTTTTACATATACACGTTCTTATTTTCCTGATTATAAAAACAATTAGTACTAGAGTATCCATGTTACATTAGTTATCATAATCTGATTTCCAAATCCTAAATAATTCAAAATAGTAAAGCAAAAAAAAAAAAGCTATTGCTAAGTATTTCCCTTTCTACCGTTATTCTTTAAAAATTCTAACACAGTTAATTAGTTCAATAAGAAATTTCAACAGACTGCGTATTCTATCTGCCAAATTCATAACTGAAATGAAGATAAACATTTAGAGGATGAGAAGTTCTAAGGTACAAACATCTTTCAATAGATAACCAATACTATCACAAAAAAGTCAATTAAATAAAGACTTTAGAAATGGCAACACAATTTCACCAAAATATTGACTTAACAGATAATAAAATATATGGGTGAAGAGATCACATATTCCACTACCTTTGTAAAATAGATTTAGATAAAATACTTAAAATCATTATTGTGAAGCATGCCAAAGAGATTTCATAAAACAATTCCCCCACCCTTAAGAAAGCCACAAATTGTAACTTTAAAAAACACTGCAATTTTAAGTGTGCCTCTCAACTTAATGTTCTTAAGTACAGAATTACAGTACCTGAGTTCAGTAAAGAATAATTTTACATAGTAAAACTACAACACTTGAAGTCATAGAATACACAGAAAGTTGTACAACATAGTTTCATTGGTGTATGTTTTTCCCCAAAATCACACGGAATGCCAACACTACAGAAACTGTTTTTAATAAAATCTGCTATTGGGTGGCGCCTGTGGCTCAAGGAGTAGGGTGCCAGCCCCATATACTGGAGGTGGCAGGTTCAAACCTAGCCTCAGCCAAAAACTGAAAAAAAATTGAAAAGTAAAAAAAAATAATAAAATCTGCTATTTACAAACTAAGGACTGGCGCTCTTTCCTTTGATTCTTCTCCATGTTTCCCGCTCCATCATAGTAGATGATATCAATATTGATAACTTTTCAAGAAAAAGCCTCAGAGTTATTTCTGACTTCAAATATCCACTTTATCATAAAATAACAGTGCCCTCTGTTACCACTTTTTCCATATCTTGCAGATTCTTTTTCATTCCTTCAGCTACATTCTGCTCCTGGCTCTTGACTCCCCCCCTCACACACACTACTGTACCGCATTCTCCTGAGATAGCTCTCTAGACTGTCTTTAATTCCACCGCCAGCGTTACCTTCTCTCCTTGACATTTTGCCTATGCCACATACCTATTCCACTTGGGCTTTTCAAGCCCTTTACATTGCATTTTTATTCTGCTCAAGAGCCTCATCCTCAATTATTTATTTATTTATTTATTTATTTGGCTGCTGCTGACTTTCTCCCCTTCTTGACTCTGGTGAATACACAGAGTAAAAGTACTTCTTTCAGGTAGCCACATTTGCCCCTAACCTACCTGAATCAGTAGAGCTGCTTTTGTATCTAGCCCCCAACACATAGGTAGCATATTAGGTAATTTTCATGTAATATTACATACATTATTTTGTTTGGTTGTGTTATCCCTATTGGACAGTAGGCATGCTAGAGAAAGGCCACATCTTTCAAAGCAGTTTGTACAATACCTGTCTACTGTATCACTTTAATGATTAATTAAAACTATTATAGAAAGTTTAAAACACAAAAAGGTATATTCTTTTAAAAAACATTCTGTTGTTTAACTTTTAAACATCCATGGCCTTTTATTTCTATGGACAGCTGGCACATTTTAGTTTCTATTGAACTTCATCTCTACTAATTTTCAAAGCATGGCTAGAATTTAAAGTGCAAGTTGGGGATTGATATAGGGTATACATTTTTACATCCTGCGTTCAGATCAGCAATGTCAACCCCAAGAATTCCAAGGTACAACTAAATCTTCGGATAAGCAAACAGTTTTAGCATCGAAAGATGAGACCAGTGCATTTTTTGTGGAGAACCCTTGAAGGGATTCCCTCCCCTACAACTGGTTTAGACTAGTTTCTCTATCCCAGGGGCTTTCAATTAGGGAAAGTCAATTGATCACATGTTAAAATCTGGGAATATTGGCAAGGAAAAGCAATAAAAGAAAGGGAAAGGGGCGAGAGATATCCTCCTGTCATAAAACTCAGCAGCTAAATTAAGCTTTGCACTCAGTACCTACCGGCAGTCTCAGAGATTTTTTTTCCCTACCTAATAATAAAAGTCTCATTCAATTTAGTCCCTTCTCGAGCACCGTCAACCTGTCAGAATTTGACAAGGAAAAAAATTAAGAAAGAAGTGGGGGAGACACTAGGATTCCCATCTACATCGCTTTTTCCGAAATCCCATCAGTCGTGGATTTCCTTCACTCCAAACTAAGCTCTTAGATTCCAAATATAGTTCTTTAACCCCCGCTCCGTCACTCAATTACACATAAACCTTGGCAGCTACAGAACCACAGCAGAAACCCTATACAAATCGGCTTGCTATTCATCTTGGAAGTCATGCCCTGCAGCAACTGCCTATCGCCTAACTGAGGGATATTACCCAAATACAACGCAACGGAATCAGACATGCAGAGCACACACGGCTTCCGTGAAAGAGGGAAACGCGACCCAGGAAAAGTGCGCTCCTCACTAGCCTCGGGACCATCCACGGGGGAGTGGGGGTGCGGGGGTTCCCAGAAAGGGAGGAGGAGAAAGGAGACAGAGTAGGGGAATCCTCCCCTCTCAAGTGAAAAAGAACTGGATCCCAGCCTCAGGCTGCAGCCCGTGCCTGCTAAGGAGATGAAGAGGCAATCAGAGGGCCCTTTGCTCGTAAAGGCAGAATGCAGACACTTTCAGAGGTCTGTACGCAAGTCGATCCTCAACCTCCCGGGGGAGGCGAGGGGTGTCCCATGGGCGGCTGTGGGGATGCCCGGACCGCTAGGGGAGGCCACAGTGGTAGCACTTTAGTCTAAGGAACACCTGAGCTTTATCCGGCCGGTGCTCAGGGTCAGCACCGCTAGAAGGGCCGGGGGCAGCCCCGGGGAGGGAGGGGGTGGAGGTGGGATTCCCCCTCTCTGAAGCCCCGCGAGGACCGGCCAGGGCCGGCGGGGAGCAGCGTGCTTCAGACTGCGGAGCCAGGATCCCGCCGCCTGCACCGGCAGCGCGGAGCCCCGCAGCGCCCGCCGCACCGGCCCCTCGGTCCCCGGGGGCCAAGGACTTAGGCTGCGACGGCGCTGGGGCCTGACATCCCACCGGGTGGGCCCCAGCTCTCGGGGGGACCCGCGGGAACACCCCCAACCTCCAACAGCTCTCAGCGGTAGTAAAATGTACCCCCCGTCCCCCTCCGAAGCTTTCCCTCCTCCCGAGGCCGCAGAAAAGGGCCACCACAGGCGAGAGCCTGAGACAAGTCGGGGGCAGCAGCCGCAGCGGCCTCGGACCTCCTCCCCCGGTTACCTGTGAGGACTCCGACGCGGATCTGATGGTCGTGGTTAGTGAGGATCATTCCCTCGGTCGCCATGTTTCCCAGCGCAGTCACCGCACTGACAGGAGCCGGGAGAAGCCGGAGCCCGGAGCGCGCGGGCCGGGAGCGCGCCTGCCTCGGAGAGCGCGAGAGCTGGGGGGCCCGGGGAGCGCGAGGCGAGCAGGGGAGGAGGGGAGCGGCCGAGAGATGGCCGGCCCGGGCCGCGGAGAGGCCGCGCCGGAGTGCGCGGGGCCGCGGGAGAAGGCGGAGTTCGGGCGCGCGACCCTGAGTCCGGCCGCGAGGAGGCGAGGTGGGGGTGGGCGACGCGGCAGCCTCCTGGGGACGGCACGCGGAGGTGGCGGACTGAAGCCGGAGGGCCCGCGGCGGCTAGACTGCCGTCCTGAGGTGAAGGGAGCGCACACGCTCGGGAAGCTGCGGAGGCGGGCTCGGGGACAGGGGCGGAGCTACACCCCGAGGCGTGGAACTCGTGGAGAGTGAGGGGAGGAGTAAGGGCTGCAAAGCCGAGGACTGGGAGCGGGAAAGAGCCGGCCCAGCCTGAGTAGGAAGGAGGAGCGCTCCGGGGCGCGCGAGTAGCTCGGGATTGGCTGGCAGAGCGCGGAGCGGGTGCGCGCGAGGCACGAACGCGGCCTCGGCCGGGACCCAGACAGAAGCAATCCCCTGCCGAGCCCGGCGCCGGGTCGGTCGTAGGCCGCCTTCGGCCGGCTCTCCCCGGCAGCCGGGCACCTCCGAGGAAGGACCGCGAGGGGAGCGAGGCAGGCTCAGCATGCCGATCCTCTCCTCGCAGCTCCCAGGAGCCGCTGCCACCCTACTAAAGGCGCCGGGGGACCTGGAGGTGGCTGAGAAAGTTGCGTGGGTGGCAGATCGGTGGCTGCTGTGACTGAGAGCCCGCCGTGGGCGAAGAGGAGGGTATCCTGTCCCACCGGGTCTTAGCCACTTGCTGCCTCTGCGCTCGCCAAGCAAGGATTTCCACCTCTCGGTGTTACAGGATTTCATCTCCACGTTAGTCCCTGCCAGACTGTCCCCGCAAGCGACGCTTAGGAGGCAGGGCATCCTAAGTGCAGATAATCTGGCTTCACTTACTTCTGCTGTCCCTTGGTTTTGTAACCTTATGCCGTTTCTCCGCAACGTCTGCTTTTAGGTGAAAAACATCAATCTGCTTAGGGAATGAGAAGGACGTGTTACACGAACCAGAGTCAATCGCCATGACAATTGAGTTTCGGTTCAGTATTTATGAGATAGAAGATTATCATGAAAATAGTTTTTGTTGTTTTTTTCCATGTGCCTTTCCTAAAATGTCTTATTAATCACCTTTGGCTATTTTTGTCGGTTTCTTAGTTACCTTCTTTCTGGCCCTTTCAACTTACGACTTAAAAAAAATCTGTATTATATGTATTTTTTCCTTTGTTCTCAGCCACAGTAAAACTTGGAAGCATAAAAATAAAAAGCAAGTATCAACAAATATCTAACCATCAGCGTGTGTGCACAATTAAAATCTCAATTTGATTATGTTGTTTGTTGCTCCAGTTGGAATGAAGTGACTGAAAATTCACATAGTTGTGTGTGTTTCATTTTAGGTAATGAGAGGTGCAAAAGAGATGAAGGGATGGAATTGAGGTGGAGTAAAATAAATTAGTTAGTTTTTAGTATGTGTATTGCTAGTATTTTTGATAGTGGATTAAAGTTTTAAGCCAGGTGGCCAGTGGATTGTTAATTCGTTTCAAATGAGAGCTATGGATGAGAATGTCCAGGAGACTGATTTCCTTTAGCTCAAGCTAAACCTGAACCAAACAGTTTGTAATATTGTTACCCTGTCTTAATTCTCTGAGGTACACTTTAATCTTCTTTTTTTTTTTTGAGACAGAGCCTCAAGCTATCACACTGGGTAGAGTGCCATGGTCACAGCTCACAGCAACCTCCAACTCCTGGGCTTAAGCTATTCTCTTACCTCAGCCTCCCAAGTAGCTGGGACTACAAGCATCCACCACAATGCTCGGCTATTTTGTGGTCGTAGTTGTTACTGTTATTTGGCAGGCCCTGGATTCGAAACCGCCAGCTCTGGTGTATGTGGCTGGCACCTTAGCTGCTTGAGCTATAGGCGCCGAGCCACATTTTAATCTTAAATGATTATGAAATATCTTGAACTATTAAAGACATAAGTTCTGACCAATTAACAAGTTCTGTGACCTTAAACAAATCTGGACCTTTTCATTCATCCTTTAAATAAGGTAGTACACTACCCATTAAATAAAGTGGCAGACTAATAAGCAACCCTTCAACTTAGAATATTCTATAATTGGCTTGGCGACCATGGCTTAATGGTTAGGGCATTGGCCACATACACAGGGGCTGGGGATTTCTGATCCAGCCAGGGGCTGCTAAACAACAATAACAACAACAACAAAAATAGCAGGGCATTGTGGCAGGTGGCTGTAGTTGCAGCTACTTGGGAGGCTGAGGCAAGAGAATCACTTAAGAGTTTGAAGTTGCTATGAGCTGTAATGCCACAGCACTCTACCAAGGGTGATGTAGTGAGACCCTGTCTAAAAAAAAAAATATCCTATAATTAGTTGTGGAACAAAACTGGCACTTTTATTTCACAAATCAATAACAGGACAAAAGATTATCTGCACCTATAAAAGAGGCAAAGATGAAATTCACTAAAATTTAATTGGCAAAGGCATATATAATTAAGCTTTGTAAAATACATGAAGGTTTGTTAACATTTGTTATAGTCTGCTGAATGTTAGTATTGAAATTGCTAAAAAAACAGTATTAATAGAACCAACTTATAATAGATGCTGTCTTCCTGCAGTTTTTCCCAAGTGTATTCATCTCTTGCAAATTCAGCAAAGTTTAATAAAACTTACACAGGAAAAACTCAGTGACCTAGTATGATCTTTTACTGCTGGTTATTGAGTGAATATTACAATATGTACACATTCTTTTACTCTTGTTACAGTGTGACATTTCTTCAAAATTCATCCTGGAATCAGGTGTTATACCAAAAAAGAAAAATTCTGGAAAGTAGGAGAGAGTAACATTTTCAAATATTGGCAAATGTCTCAGGAGAAACTTGGGGAAGGGGTAGGGAGGGGAGACCAGAAATGGAAAAATTTTTGAGAGTTTGTGTGTAAAAAATTAGAAGTGCCTAGGAATTTATTCTCTCCATTCTTAGTGTTTTAAAATAAAACTGCAAGTGCTTACATTAACCCTTTGAGACAACATAAAAGGTAACATATGGTTTTCGTAATGACTATTAGTATGAAGATGAAGTATGTCAGTAGAAATGAAGTCTCAGTTTTCTCTAGTAGTGTGTATACACTTTGGCCCTCCAGTTAACTCTCAGTTTTTCTGTGGTTAAAATTTCAATATAAGGCAAAATATTAATGGACTTTTCTGGGGCAAGATTCTCCTCATCAGTACTAGATTGTTGGCAAGAATTAATTTGGGAATGTGTTATCCTTCCTCAAAGGTTTATTCCAGTCACCTCTTTCCTAATTGGCTGTTGCCCACAATTAAAATAGCCCATTAAAATGGGGCAAACAACATTTTGAATACAACATTCCCCCCTCATCTTAACAGGCTCCATTCCAATACCCCTGTGGATGCCTGAAAATTTAGTACCAAATCATGTATATATTGTTTTTTCCCTATAGGTATATACCTATGATACAGTTTACTTTATTAAGTGGTAATAGTAAGAGATTAACAACAACTTATAATAAAAAGTGTAACATCATAGCAATGTCCTATAATAAAAGTTATGCAAATGTGGTCTCTAAAAAAAAGAAAGAAAGGAAACAAGGTACAAAAAATTCGTCTTGATTTCTAAAGAAATCACTGATTTTTTTAATTAAGAAAAAGATTATAGAAGACAGGGGCAGAGGAAGGAAGGACTATTGATAAGGGAAAGGAAAATGAGATTTGTTAAATGGAAAAGTAATATTAAGTGCCTCCACAAGTAATTTGATTTCTTAAAAGTGTTTAGGATTCAATATATATGTCAAGGAAAGATAGTCCCAAGCTTAAAAACTGACATGGATTGGGTTTAAGTAAACTTAAAAAAAAATCAAAAGAATTATGCTTTTCTTAAATTATGAATTGGTTTCCATGCAACCAAAAATTACTTTAAAGCCCAGCTTCCCTAGTGAAATTTTTTTTTCTATAAAGGCAGTGTACAAAAAATTATTTTGTTAACCTATGTAACTTAATTTTCCCCCAAGTTGACTAATAATGGAAATAATAGTTTGTAGGAACACTTATACCATGTTTAATGCTTAAAGTAAACCTTAAGTATGAAACATTGGGAAGCCTCGGTGAATTTGAGAAAGAAGCAGAGAATATGGGTTTTTCAGTTTTGGTCCTGAAAATTCTCTTTCTACTATGTAATAATTTCATTTCATATTTAAATTCCTATATATGTCCTGCTGTGGGATGGATTGGTTGCAGACCAAGTCTCCTTTTCTAACACAAAACCTGTTTTCTTCCCATTTCCTAATATTTGACAACTAAATGCAGAACATATGAAGCAACAGGGACATTGAATTGGTAGCAATGCAAGCTCTTCCCAAGGTGCCAAAGAGGCTGTTAAGAATTTGACTTGGCATATAACACATTGCAGAAGTCTCCACATATAAACAGACACACCCCATAAGGCCATAAGTCACATAAATAATACTAAATAGATTTTCTGCCCGGATCAAAAAGCATAAGGCGAAATATTACTTGCCCTCTTGATTGCAATTCTAGATTGAAGATGAAAGTATCAGGCTGTTCTTGCCTTGATTTCATTTAGGAAACATCGTGACAAACATCACTAATCATTGTGTAGTCATTGCAAAAAGGTAACTTTTGAGGGGTAAAATATTAGCAGATATCTTCTTTGCCAGGAAGTTAAAATAAACGTGATAAGCCACAGAAATGGTACAACCCAAAGTTAGATTTGTAAATGTATTGCTAGTGGGACATTTTTCCTCAGTTGACTTAAGATTGAAAAGTGTCTCTCAAGTACAGGTAAGGATATTAGAGGTTTTTTTCTCAGAGAAACATAATTAGACTATTATTGTTTAGTTCCAAGGCAGCTCCCTATATGTCAGTGTTTCAGGCAGCTGCCTGGGTCCTCGGTTCTTGTAGCCCTCTTGTTCAAAAAATAACCATATACCCCAAATTAAGACAAACATGAAAAAAAAAAAACTTATTGAGGAAGAAAAAGGTAAGCTTACACAGTAAGATAGTTTACAAAGGCTCAGCACCTGTAGCTCAGTGGTTAGGGAGCTGGCCACATACACCAAAGCTGGTGGGTTCAAACCCAGCCAGGGCCTGCTAAACAACAATGACAACTGCGACAAAAAAAA